ATCATTTAGAAACGTGTTGTTCCTCCATTTGTTTTCAAGCACTCTTGTACTCGTTCTGGCATTGAATTCATTAAAGTTTTGATTACTTCATCTGGCACATTATTCAAATGATGAGAGATAGAAGATTTTAAATCTTCCAAATTGTAAAGTTGTTCTTTACCAAGCTTGTGATCAAGCCACGACCATAAATTCTCTATTGGATTTAAGTCTGGACTATTAGCAGGCCATGGAAGCACTTGAATTTTATTAGAATTGAACCAATTGCTAACAACATGCGCTTTATGACACGGCGCATTATCTTGCTGGAAAATAAATCCATCTTGCAACTGCCATAAATTATTGCTAAGAATAAGCGAGTTTTCCAAAATTTCGATGTGCCTTTCTTTGTTGAGTCTACCATCGAATAAATGAAAAACGTTAACTCCACAAGCACTCATACAGGCCCAAATGCCTATTGAACCACTGCCTTGTTTCAAAATGCATGATTCATCGAACCATTCGCTTGGAAGTCTACGCAACATTACGCGACCTTTTCTGTTGTCTACCTCAACGTTCATTTTATCACTAAAGACCACACGGCTTCACTGATCTGTTGATCAATTTTTATGCAGTTTGCACCACTCTTTCCTGGCAAATTTTTGTTTTTTATTTAAAAGTGGTTTTTTTGCAGCAACACGCCATAAAAAATTTAAATTGTGGATGACCCTTCGCACAGTTCTAGGGCTTGCTTTCAGACCATTTGACAGTCTGTAGATGATGCTTGTCTGTTTTCTTTCATTAATCTCACTAACGAGCGAACATCACAGTCATTTGAAATTTTATTGCGTCCAGTCCTATGACGATCATTAATTGACCCGGTCTCTTTGTATCGTTGAATTATGTTAATATTGCAAGAGTGAGAACTTCCGAGCTTTTCTGCATTTTGTCTGATGCTATAGCCTTCTTCTTTTAATACAAGAGCCGCGTATCTGTCTTTTTCTTCGATCTTTGCACGCATTTTTGCAATATTTTTATATCCTTATTGCAATTCAAAAAATAAATGTTCATTTGATATCGAAACTCAGGTTTCGACATTTTATTTTATAGCCAACGTAATAAGCAATTAAGACAGTTAAAAAAAAAAAAATGATTATTATTTTTAACAAGTGCAAATTAAAGATTTGAAAGTGGTCATTAAATTTTGTCTAATGAATTTAAAGAAGATTTATAAGTACTCATCAGTTTTATAATAAGTTAAACGCTATTCAATAAGAATTAGATTAAAAAAATTATACTTTTTTAATCCGTATGTTTTAATTAACAAGATATCAAAAAAAAAAAAAATTTAATATGTCAATTAGAATCTTCTTAATTTTAATTTAAAGATTAAGAAACCAACTAAAAAATGAGTGGTCTTTAATTTTTGGCCACCGCTGTATATATATATATATATATATATATATATATATATATATATATATATATATATATATATATATATATATATATATATATATACATACATATACATAAACATATATATATATATATATAAACATATATATATATATATATAAACATATATATATATTGCCAACTTCAATCTTTTTGAGGTCGGCATCAGGTGGGCAAAAATTATTTGATACTAAGGTCTGACCATAAAACATAAAAACGAGGTCGGCATTTTTTTTGCCAATCTTAAACACTTTCAGGTCGGCAGTTAGGTCAACATTGCCGAATGCTAACCCTAATTCCGAGGGTTGAATGTAAGTATATATATATATATATATATATATATATATATATATATATATATATATATATATTTTGTCATGTGCAATCTGTTTAGATAATGCACAGTCATATGCAAACTGCTTATATTGCATAAACAATATTCCAACTTAAAAAATACCAAAACATACATATACCTCTTGAATGATAGCCAAACACTTGCTTCTTCGTTGTACAATAACTTCTTTTTCTTTTTCTTCAACAGCAGACATAAGAATTTTGTGACAAATCTCATCTGATGGTAAATGATGAACAAACTTGATAAGCCATTCAACTATCTAAAAAATATCTAAACTTGATGAGCCAATCAACATTACTCTATTGCACCAAACTTTAATGAAATGTTACTTATCAACACAATCAATATAATAACTTTTTTATTATCTCACATTTCACTGCATATTTTATTAGTTATTTTCAAAATAAATAAATTATACCGCTACATGGCCATTTTTAAATGCAGACATTATAGGAGTATTCCCACGACAATCAGGTGTTTCCAAATTTGCGTAATGATTTGAAAGCATCTGAGCAATTTCAATATGACCTTCTTTGCAAGCTAAAAATGCAGGTGTACACCCTTTTTTTGTTCTACAATCTTGACTAGCACCTTTCGATAGAAATAATTTAACAAGCTCCTTGTGACCTTTTTCAGCACACAAAGTCATGGGATTTTCACGGCTGTTTGGGAAAGGTGAATTAATACCAGCTCCATAGCTCAAAAGAAGTTCCACAATTGAAACATGATTTTCTCTGCATGCTTGAAACAATGGAGTGATACCTGTTTTTGTACGACAATCTCGGTAAGCTCCTCGAGATAATAACAGCTCAGCAACATCATGATGGCCTAAGAGCAAGATATCACATTAAAAAAGTCAAAAAAAACATCAAATTATATAAATTATATTAACAATGAATTACATTGATAAATTATACTAAACTAGCAAAACATGAATAATAATAAGTGTAACGTGAATAAATGTAACTTTACTCAATAAAGATATTTACATTGTTAAAAGTTAATTTACGTCAGTTGCGTTTTTACTTTATTGTAATTAAATTTAAAATGACATTAAAAACTATTGTTAGTCTTTGAAACGAAATAGCTTTAAATTGAACAATGTTGTTATAAAAAAAAAAATTTCAATGTTGGTTAAAAAAAAGTCTTCTTGTATTAAAATCTTATACTTATTTAAACTTAATTTTTTTGCTTTTAAACATTCGTTTTATGGTTGTTTTTTTTTTTTTTTTTATTTTAAATAATTTAAATTTAACACTTGTTTATGGTTGATTTTCTTAAAGGGATTTAAATGTACTTATAACTAAACGCATAGATTGGGTTTTCCCCTTTTTAAAAAAACGTTTGTACTAACTGGTTTTGATAAAATAAATGTTGTAAAGAAACGAAATTTACTGCTTTTTCAGCTTTGTTTTTTTTTTATTTCTATTAAACTATTTTATTTTTATGTACAGTGAAACCTAATATTTTTTTTCTCAATCCAAAAAAAAATAGTGTTTCCGGTTTTCAGATGTTATAAGCAGAATATATATAAATATATATATATATATATAAATATATATATATATATAAATATATATATATATATATATATATATATATATATATATATATATATACATATATATATATATATATATATATATATATATATATATATATATATATATATATATATATATATATATATATATATATATATATATATATATATATATATATGTATATATATATATATCAGGCCTTGTTAAGAAGCGTTACGCAGCTCGCATTTTTCCTGCGAAAAGGCGATTTGCCTACGCATTCAGCAGTTATGCGTTACGCAAAAACTTTTATCTTTTAGAATATTTAAATTATCTTTTTATATCGTTTATGTGACGTTCATTCAGAAGTATTAAAGTCGTAAGTAAAAGCATTTAACCGCAATTGTAAACTAATAGATTTTTTGTTAAAGAAACAATTTGTTTAATAATTTTTTTTTGTTTTTAAAAATTACTTAAAGAAAATAAAGTGTTTTAAGTTTAAACTTTTCATCATATTTAATTTTAAATATTAGATTTCATAAGTTTATAAACAATCAAATTTAAAAAAAGAAATATTTTCAATTTATTTTATTAAATTTAAATATTTTTTTAATAATTATAGTTTTTAGTAAATAAATTTATTAAATTTGATTAAAATTCTTTCATTTAATTTTAAAACAGAGCATTTTAAAATTTTTTAATTTTAAAATGCTCCGTTTTTTTTATAAAATTACCTAAGTAAAAAAAGATTTGATAAATTTAATTCAAGTTACTTTAAAATGTTCGTATTACATATAACTTTATTTTAATTTTAGTTAAGTTTCAGGTAAGTTCCAAATACTGGTCTGAAAGATGCGCTTACAAAAGCGCATTATTTTCCAGTTTTTATTTTTCCATTATTTTACAGTTTCATTCATTATTTACAGAAGCGCATTATTCATTTTATAACTTCAAGTTAATAAATGACGTCAATACTTTTAAACTCAAGTTATAAATGTTATGTTTGGGTTTTCCCTTTGCCGTTTGCCAAAGAATTTTTTTTATAAAACAAACCAAGGACGTATTAACAATACGTCCTTGAACAAACAAAAATACAAACCTATTAAAAATAACATGATCAGTAAATAAACTCTTTAAAAACCCAACTTATCTTTATTTTATTTTAAAAACAAAACTAGTACTTGAGCTATAAATATAAGATACATAAATTTCAAAATTATAATGATATTTGTTAAAAACAAATTCTGCTTATAACATCTGAAAACCGAAAACACTATTTTTTTTTGGATTGAGAAAAAAAATATTAGGTTTCACTGTACATAAAAATAAAATAGTTTAATGGAAATAAAAAAAAACAAAGCCGAAAAAGCAGTAAATTTCGTTTCTTTACAACATTTATTTTATCAAAACAAACGGGTTTTTTTAAAAGGGAAAACCTAATCTATGCGTTTAGTTATAAGTACATTTAAATCCCTTTAAGAAAATCAACCATAAACAAGTGTTAAATTTAAATTATTTAAAAAAAAAAATAAAAAACAACAACCATAAAACGAATGTTTAAAAGCAAAAGAATTAAGTTTAAATAAGTATAAGATTTTAATACAAGAAGACTTTTTTTTAACCAACATTGAAATTTTTTTTTTTTTATAACAACATTGTACAATTTAAAGCTATTTCGTTTCAAAGACTAACAATAGTTTTTAATGTCATTTTAAATTTAATTACAATGAAGTAAAAACGCAACTGACGTAAATTAACTTTTAACAATGTAAATATCTTTATTGAGTAAAGTTACATTTATTCACGTTACGCTTTTCCGTTACGCAGCGAAATCTCGTAACAAGGCCTGTATAGCTATTATTATTTTTTTCTTTTAACAAACTGCATCCCCCAAGAACTTATTTCACCACATTTTACCTTGTTGATGTTTAGCCATAAAAACTTTAATATGCCATATTTAATTTTATATTGCTAACAATATTTTTATATTGCTAAAAACAAGTTTAACAACTTGTTTTTAGCAATTAACTTTATGGAAAAAAGTGTGATCAATAATAGACAATAGATATTGTTCGAAACAACTATTTTGATCTTCCAAAAAAAATTCTATTCACTTATCCGTTCTTTATTCATTCTCTCTATTTAAACTGCTGAATTTATATAAATATGTATTTAGCATCACAATAGTTTTAAAAATTGAAAATGTTTTTTAACAATAAACTGGCAATTGATTTTATAAATTTACTTTAGGATTCATAAACAAAGAACTCTTTTCAAAATTCAACATATTAAAAAAAGTATCTGTTACAATTTGTTTTTTGCTTGTTTGTCAAGGTTCGTGTTTCGGTGTTATAGAGTTGAGAGAGGGTTATATAACCACAAATAAATAGCCTCCTCGTCTGTAGTGACCTTCTCGGCCTTGAGGAGGTAAAATAACAAACAAACAAACATCTTATGTTTTAAGTTATCTTATGTATGTTATATAATAAAATCATATCATATTAAAATAGCCATCTACAGGACTTCAGTACATACCTTGACTGAGGGTTAAAGTTTGGGGAGGTAACATTAAGATATGAAGGACTTTTATTATGGCAAAAAACTTTTAATTTAAATTATTCTTTTTTTTTCTGAAAAAAATGTTTGGATTTAACAGAAAAAAATACTTATAAAACTGTAACAAAAAAGTTGTCGACAGACTGTAGAAGAGAAAAGAAATAACTTTAGCAATAGAAGTCAATGTAATTTGGATGTCTAACAATGGATTAACTCTTTTTTTTCGAATGTTACATATTACATACTGTTGTTGAATTAGTTAAATTGAATGTGGAGTAGCAATGTCAAAATTTACTTTGTATGAAGGATAGAATGACTTGCATTTGTTAATGACACTGTTAAAGACATTATGAAAGTCTCTACTAGTTAACTTTTAAGATAATGAAAGTCTCTATTAATTAACTTTTAAGATAATGAAAGTCTCTATTAATTAACTTCTTAGATAATGAAAGTCTCTATTAATTAACTTCTGAGATAATGAAAGTCTCTATTAATTAACTTCTGAGATAATGAAAGTCTCTATTAATTAACTTCTAAGATAAAACATGAAGCTTAGTAATCTGAAAGTTATGGAACTTACTTAGTTACTTAGTTACTTTGTAAATTAGTAACTTAGTATCAGAGTTTTTAGGGTTTCTTGCAATGAAAAAAGACATTTGTTGTCAAAAGAGTTGTACTCCATCCACTTAGGTCCAATTCTACCAAAACCAACTGTGTATTCTTTCTGGTAGCGAATACATTTTAATCTAAAAAATGCTGAATTTTTATAATTTTAACTTAATATGAAAATGTGAACCTATTTTGGATTCTATAATGCCTTTATCTTACAGCATTATATATAATTTATATACAATTTATACTGCAGTATAATTAATTTCAAACTGTTATTATAATATTAATATAAAAAAGTACCTTTCCAACATGCCATAAACAATGGACTCTGACCATAATTATCAGGAAGCTCAACATCAGCATTGTGGTTAAGAAGAATTTCAGCTACATGTCGATGACCTTCTCTAATAAAATATTTATTGTAATATATTTATATAAAATATAAATATTTTAAACACTTATAGTATTCATAACAAATTAAAAGTAAAACAATGTCATACCTTGTAGCCTCCATTAAAGGAGTAAAACAATGTCATAACATACCTTGTAGCCTCCATTAAAGGAGTACACCCAGTTTTTGTTTGATGGTCAATATTTGATTTATGTTCCAATAACAATAAAACAACTTCCTTATGGCCTAGCAGAAAATAAACAAAATAATATAAGATAAGAAGAAATATGTATGTAGTGGTAGACAGAACATGATTCTTACCACAATTGAAATAATATTTAAATATAACAAACCTTTCCAGCATGCTAATGTTAATGGGGTATCGTCATTGCTTCCTGATGGAACATTGACTTCTGCATTTCTTTCCAAAAGTAGTGCAGTTGTTTCTAAATGACCTTCCCTATTACAACAAAATTTATTATTTTTACATCTCAAAACTTTCATTTTAAAATAATAAGATTGATAATAATTATACCTTGCTGCCAACATTAATGGTGTGCATCCAGCCTTATTACGATGCTCAATATCAGAACCATAATCAAGTAATAGACGAACAACTCCCAAATGGCCTTAAAATATATAAAACTATAAGACTATAACAGTGTCTCTAGTGATTCTTAAATCCTCATCATTCTTATCTACAGATTCTTAAATTCTCATCATTTTTTTACACTTTTAAATACTGTTAGGAAATGGAGAGAAGTTAATCAACAAAACAGAGATAATTTTAATTAAAAAGAAATTCTTTAAAAAAGTTTAAAATCAAAAAAACTAATCAAAATTTGGAATCATATGAAAGGGTAATGTGATTGGATTAATAAAATTTAGCATAATAACTCTTTTCTAAACTTTTTCTCAAAGTTCCAAAATTATAAATAATAAACATAAATAAAGGATTTTTTTTTATTTGTATTTTTACAAAAAATATTTTGATCTAAATTCCTCTGCATGTTTTAGATGATTTATGGATGTAATATCTTAATTACTATATGAGGACATCAGATCGTGTTATATAAAATGTGTAGTGCATATGCACAATGGGATAATGGAAGATCATAAAATTATTTTTAATTGTTTTATTAACTTTTTTAACCATCAAAATTTAGTAAATTTCTGCAAAATTGTTTAATTGAAAAGTCAACTTAAAAGTCAAAATAACAGAAATAATAATATAAATAGAGATTTGCCGAAACCAGTTTATGCTCATTGTTCTGGATACTGGGAAGGAAAAAACGGGTCTGAGTCTGGGTAACTGGCACCGAGTCCATATTAAAAAGGTAGAATAAAAGCTTGAAAAATCTGTTGCGCTGATTTTTTCACAAAAAAACGCTGATTAATTTGTGTTAATTAAGTTTGGCTAAATATAGCAAGTTTCTTAATATTTAAATAATAATTAATAGGCTGTTAATATTTGGAATAAGGGGTCGTCCCCCCCTTCTCTGCATTTTAATATACACTTTTTAACTACTCAACACTTTATAATATTTTTTTAATTTATTGTCTCCTTACTTTTATAATTAAACCCTGCCCCCCATCTCATATATGCCATTTGCAGATTCCATCTTCTGCATCCGAGTGTATGTACTTTATGGATGATCCCTAACTTGCTGTCTTACATTGTTAATGTTAAAATCATCAAGACAGTCATCAAAAAAAACTATGCCGGCTAACTAACTTTTGTTTTATAATTGTGATATTGTATATAATTTATATTTTTTGTAATTTATTGTTAAAAAATCACTTACATGTGCTAATTAATCAAAAATAAAAATAAAAAGATTAGGAGAGACAGATTTGAAAAAAAAAAAAAAAAGATCTTTTTGACTGTGAATAAAATGAAAAAAGGTAAATGTTCATTAATAATTTTTTTTAAGATACTCGGTGCCAGGGACTGCTAGAAAATGTCCTATTCCGGGTAAGCAGTCAAATTACCAGTCCCCAAGTCTGAATCCGGTATCCGGTACATCACTAAATATAAATAATATAAATAATAAAAATGATAAAAAATGTTTGTTTTGTTTATGGTTTTTAAAATATTAAAAAAAAAAATTCATTCTTTTCTCAACATTTGATACAATTTATCTATAAATACTAAACAAATAAAAACATATGGATGTTTGATTTTGTTTTATTTTTTAAATTTATAAGAGTCAACAAGTAACAAACCTAAAATTTCAAATATTGAACATATAAAAAACCCCATAATAATTATTTATTTATCAGCAATTTGTTACAACCAGCACAGATTTAGGCTTCCAAACACAACTTACTTTCATTTTTTAAAATTTGAAAAAAACTTTTTTTTAAGAAATGGACAATATACTCCTACACTTGCATTATTACATATTTTGATGCAGTGTTAAAACAGCTTACAAGGAATTTCATTTCTAGCAAATTTAAACTAGGAAGGTGAATTAAAAGTCTTACAAATTTATACAAATAAAATCTTAGGTCAATAATATATATTGATTATTAAACAAATTTAGTAAAAAGCTGCTTAAATGAAATTTAAAATCAATCAAGTCAAAGTAAGAGCTTTGATTTAACTTTATTTGGTATTTGGTGATAAAAAGATTTTTTTTAGTTATTAAGGTGCTCCAAGAAGACCTTATCACAAAGAAGACACAAGACGGTCTTATCACAAAGTACTGCAGAAGAACCAGAAAGCTCACACCTCTTACCTTACAAATATTGCTTATTGGGCTAGAGTCAGCTAGTAACTGACTGGGGCCCCAGCTAAAAATGAGACGTTTTGAAAACCCAGCCCCAGCCTCAGCAAAATTATAAGATTGAGCAGGGTTTGATAGCCAGGGCTAGAAAAAATTTATAATATTTATATATTATAATTTTATACTTACATTTTCTATTTATTAAATACTAGCATATATTTATATATTCTTAAACTCTAGTTTACTTCCAACAAAGTTGTATGCAAACATTATAAGTTGTGAGTTACTTTAAAATAAAAGATAGGGTTAAAAAGTTAGGAAATTATTTACTAAAGACTTGAAAAGATGTAGATTGTATAAAAAAAGAAAACATTAAGATGGGTAAGAGTTATAAGGTTTTTTTGATGTAAAAGGAAAAAAACTGGATTAATAAAAGTTTTTATAGGATTAACTCTTTCGCACTGAAACAGGTCGTTAACCACCCTGTAGTAATAAATCAATAATTAAAGGTTTTTTTAGCAGAGCCATTAATCAAAACTACTTGATTTTATGCTTTAAAGGATAACTTTATGCTCAGCTTCAAAATTTGCCGTAATAAAATAACTTTTAAAGCTCCGTAATAGAAATAAGGGTTCTATAAATTATGTCACGCTTTAGGGATAAGGTGGGGGGGGGGAGGAGGAGGAGGAGGAGGAGGAGGGAGATGTTAGTGGATTAAAAATTTTTTTTTTTCAAAATTCAAGTAATTATAATGTCCGCTATCACCGATATTTTAATTTTTTTTTAAAGATTTATAATGTCTATGAATTTATCTTTTAAAAAATATATAGTTTTGGAGTGCAAGTTTGATGCCTTTTATGGTACAAAACTGTTTTTTGTGGTATTATATTAAGTGCTTGAGCACTCTATTTTTATCTATTTTCTTTACAGAATGCACCACTAGTAGTTTTAAGTCTTGATTAGTATTACATTAACTTTTTTCAAGACATAAAACCAGACATTTTTTTGTAAAAAAAAAAAAAATAAAAAAATTCGCACTAGTCACGCAATTTTTGTATCCACCATCATTAGTATTTCATTTTTTTAAAAAAAAGAGACACAATCTCTGTTTATTTATCTTTTTTATAGTTATGAAAATATATAGTTATGGAGTGTAAATATGATGCCTTTTATCCCTAATATATCATTTTCAGTATAGTATGTATATTTTTACTGTTTACAAATATTAGGTGTGAAAGAGTTAAGGGAGAGATACAGTAAAAGGATGCAACTTGTTGAATAAGCCTAGCAAGAATAAGTTTTGGTTTATTATAATAGAGATGATTTGAGCATTGACCATAATAGTATTGTAGAAAAAAGAAAGAAATGCAACCTTACAACAATGGGAGAGTGGCTCAAGCTTGGCAGATAAAGCAGGCACTTTAGATTAAAAAAATACATGAAGATCATTTTAGAAGATAAGAAACAATACAGGAGCAAAGATAGAACCTTGTGGTACCCTTAAAGTTACTCAAAATAAAGAAGAGTATAGACCTTCAAGAACAACTTTAATACTGCATTTAAGACCTTCAAGAACAACTTTAATACTGCATAAGAGCATTTCAACAAAAATTTTATATAAAGAAACTAAGAACAAAGTGAAGGCTAACCATAGGATAGTTAGAGAGGTCAAAATGTTTTCTAAGGTAATTAAAAATTATTAAGGCTAGCAAAAATTGACGAGAGTTCTGAAGAAAACCTTTTTAAGACTATGATGGAAATCTTGTCTGAAGCACAACTGTAGAAGTGTTTAATTGAGAATTAACTTTAGCATAGGAAGCCAGAGTAACTGGATGTTTAACAATGGGTTAATCTGTTTAACTTGTATGGGTGGAAGAATAAGGCCATTAGATACAAGAATTAAGTTAGAGGAAAAGTTCTTTCCAAATAACTCTGATTAAATGTTAGACTTTAGTTAATGAAAAGATAAGATACAAGATTTAGTAAAGTGAGAATAACAGAGTTTTACATCAGCAGGACCTGTTTACATTGGCTTCTTGCAATAATAAAAGGACATTAGTTCTTAAGAGAGATGATTTTGTAAAAAAGATGAAAAAAATGATTAGGTTTAATAAAGCAACTTCTCAAGACAGTGAAAAATATGGAGTAGAATGAGGCTTGACTTAAAATTGATGAGAAGGAATAAAAGCACCAAAATTTTATTCCAGACGGGATAAGAGCTTCCAAAATGCTCATTTTTGCATACATAATAAGGATATAAACATATATGTTTACTATTTATTTAGATGCTGCATACAATATCCGTATTTATATAAACTTTAGTATTTATATGGTGTAGTACTTACAGAAAGAGAAGATGATCAGATGGATGTGTGGTGTGAGCCTAACAAGACAAGAAAAGGAGGCATAGTCTTAGACAGATTAGAAAAGAGTGTTGTATCGAACAAAGTTTGTTAGAGAAAATTAAAGTGATTTAGGTATCAGCATGTAGAGAGGTAGCAGCTTCAAGAGAAAATGATAGTGGTAGAAGTAAGAAAACTTGAAGAGAGTGCTTTACATATTGACCTTTAGTTAAGGAAAGAAAATGCTCTAGATTGTTTATATTAGAGAAACAGCATAAAAGAGGAAGGATAAAGCATGATAGTGATGATGATCATGATAATGGTAATGACAATTATGATGATCATGTTGATCATAATGATGTATATATATGTATATATATACAAAATATAACATGAATTTGGAATTAAAAGAATATACTTCTTGATGTATAAATGTTTATGCAGCCCCGGTCACAAACCAAGCCCCAGCTATATTTTACAAAATCCAGGCCCAGCCCCAGACAAATTTAAACCTGGAGCCAGCATCCTAGAGCCAGCATCCAACCAAGAATCTCTTGG